TGCAAGGAACATGAGTATGGACGAAGCACAGAAATCCAGAATGCAAAATCACACCGAAGTCCAAGTATTCAAAGCCAAAGCAGATAGCACATGGAACCGAGTAACCATCCCATTGAGAATGATACAGAAGAATCGTGAGTCAATGTCCATGCCCAACAGGGCAACACCAACAGCATAACCCAAATGTAGCTCTCTCTTGTGAATGGCGCCAGGCGCCCTATCTACTCTACAGCCTATCCTACAACTACAGCAATGAACAGCAACCAGACAACTTGACTACCAGCGAGTGATGATGTCAACACCAATGCAGACCTCCACCATCACCAAGTACGTGTCCTCTTCCCCACACTCTCCCTTGTTACCCACACAGCGCYCTTCACCTCCGAAGTACCASCTTCGCCCTTCACCYYTCTGCGCCCTCTGCAGCCCGGCTATGGCCGCCAAGCGCCCAKTGCACAGGCAGCGCCCTACCGCCTAGCGCATGCCTGCCTTGCACTACCTCTTAGYGCAGCGCAGCAGCCAGCAGCTYGCATTTGCGCAGCGTGCCGGCATTGCCCGCAATGGCCAAGATCCCTGCCCACGTGCCCTGCTTGCCTATATGCCAGTGCAGCGTGTGGGCGGCCTCCCTTCAGCCTGTGACTGGGGCCCAGAGGCTGAACTCAGCCCGATGCGGTTGGGCCCCGGGAGATGCAGTTGTGCCTCTCGCGTCAAGGCCTGCGGCCAGATTCAGACAGTGGGCCGATTTCCCTTTGCATTTTCGGCCTCTTTACCCAGCGTGCATTGTCAGCCTCACGTTCAGGAGCCCAGGGCCTAACTAACTCAGAGGCCTTGGGGATTTCAGCATTTGCTGAGATCCGAAACTCGGTGCACTCCAACCAACTGGCGTGCTGCAACTGTAAGGACCCCACTTCGTGAAATGTATGCACCGAGGGCTATTGTTGATTTGCTGGCCCGCCTTCACTTAGGGCGGGCACGAGGCTTATTGTTGATTTGCTGGCCCGCCTTCACTTAGGGCGGGCACGAGGCTTGCTGGGGCCTTAGTCCAGAACATGTACATCATGGCAAGGCCCCTACTTGAGGGCTCAATCCTCACATTCCATCCCCCTTAGCTTCGAAAGTCCGCTGAGATGCTTACTTCGCAGGTGCCTTCCCTTTTAGCTTCCGTTCGTATTCTGCCACCTCCTGAGGAGCTGTTTCCATCAGTTCCTCCCGTGTAAACCATTGATCTTCTTTTGGATCCGTATGATGCCTGAATCTGATCAGGTACTCTCTCTTGGGTTTAGGAGGCCTTCCTTGACCCAGCAGCTTCTGAACAGGCATATACCTGTGTTCCAGTATATCGTCGATGTCGACTTGTCCATCCATGGTTGGGGGCAGCATCGATCTCCTGGAAGGGAATTGATCAGTCTCAGCGAAAGGTGCAAGCTTTGAGGCATGAAAGACTGGGTGAGTGCGTAGGTGTCCAGAGACACGAATGACATATGTGGGACCATCCAACTCATCTCCCACTACATCCAAGACTTCCCAGAGACCAAAGTACTGAGGCATCAGTTTGCAAGATATTCCGAATTCCTGTCCTAACTCACTAGCCTTGACCCAGACACGTTCCCCTACCTGAAATGTGGACTGTCTGCGATGTTGATTCTCAGAAGCCATCATGGCTTGCTGAGCCTTCTTCATATGTTCAACAGCCTCTTGCAGCAACTTCTCATATTGCACACCGTATTCAAGTGTGCCTGGAGTTGCAGCGGGTCGGTTTTCAGGTAGGAGGAAGTCTAATGCTGATCTAGGCTTCCATCCTAAGTGCAGTTGGTTAGGACTAACGCCGGTACTATTATGTATAGCATTGTTGTACAGGCTGGCGATGAGAGGTAACTGCTCATCCCAGTCATCTTGGCTGGGCTTGATGTAATGCCTCAGCAAGTGCTGTACAACTCTATTCATTTGTTCGGCCTGTCCATTGGCTTCGGGATGATTCCCTCAAGTCATTTGAAGTTGACTGCCCATCTGTTCTGTAGTCTTCTTCCACAACTCACTTGTGAATCGGATGTCTCGGTCACGAATGATGGTCTTTGGTAAACCAAAGTCCCTTACCCAGTTGTCCTTGAACAACTTGATGACGTATTCTGTCCTGGCTGTCTTTGGCATTGGTACTGGTCTAGCGTATTTGGTGAATCGGTCAATGATGACGAAGATGTGCCCCTTACCACTCTTGCTGGTCACTAGGGCGTCCATGAAATCCATGGAAACACTCGATCCTGGACCATCAGGAATAGGTAACGGCTTCAATAACCCAAGCGGTGCTTGAGTTCGCGGCTTGTCCCGTTGACAGACCTGACAGGTCTCAGCATACTTCTTCGCGTCATCTAACATTCCGGGCCACCAAAATCGCTGTACTAAGTTAGCACTCGTGTTCTTGTAGCCAAAGTGCCCAGTTGCGTCATGACATTCTCCTAAAAATAAACTAGGCAACTGTTCACTAGATGGAACTACCAATCTCTTTACTCCAACCTTATCAAGATAGATTAGCCCATCCACCATCACAAACTCACTTTTTGTGGCCTTGTCTTTTGCCTGAAGTTTGCGGATGATGTCCATCGTGACAGGGTCTTCCTGATAGGCTCCCACCAATGATTGAGTTACTTCATTAGATACGCCAAATTCAGAAACTAGCGCACCTAGGTAGTTTGCTCTACGGGATAGCGCGTCTGCAACCTTGTTATACTCTCCCTTCAGGTACTCGAGCTTGAAGTCATATTGGTCTATGACCTCAATCCATCGCTTGAGTGCATCAGAAAGAGCCAGTTGAGTCTTGATCCATTTGAGGGTCTGATGATCAGTCCTCCGATAGAAGCACCTTCCTAGAAGGAAGTGTCTCCAATGGACAAGTGCCTTGTAGAGAGCATAAAGTTCCCTTTTGTTGGTGGACTTAGCCAGCTTCTTCGATGACCAGCTTCTTCGATGACATCTTCTTACTCATGTACTCGATCAGTCTCAACTTTTTCCCATCCTGTTGAGCCAGCACTGCGCCAATGCCGTATTGGCTTGCGTCAGTGGTCACTATGACTGGCTTTTGCGGACCGGGAACCATGAGAACTTCATGATTCATGAGTGCATGCTTCAATCTCTTGAAAGCACCCTCGCACTCATCACTCCATTCCCACGGTGTGTCAAGTCGAGTTAGATCAGTCAAAGGAGAGGCGACTGTAGAATAGTTCTTGACGAAGTTCCTATAGTAGCCGCACATTCCTAAGAATGATCTGACCTCAGTGACTGTCTGAGGTCGTGGCCAGTCTCGAATACTAGCCACCTTCGCATCTTCTGGCCTAATCCCCTCCGCGGATACTTCGTGACCCAAGTATAGTATCTTAGTGCGACCGAATTCACATTTTTCTAAGTTGACCTTATACTTGTGCTGTCGTAG